AACCAAGCATGCTGTGATTTCTTCCTTTCCGCTTATGTATGCATATATGATTGGACATTTTTTTTAACTGTAGGGACATGCCCCAAAACAGCCACCCATGCGGCTAGTCAGGGGGGCTGCAGGGCTGGCTAAATGGCTTTTCTTTTTTTAACCCAGAGATTATACCCTGGGGTTTCAACACCAAATGCATGCAGCTGCTTTACATTTACAAACCAATGGTCCATTTTATGGATTACTCTCCCTGACAGAGCAGGTTCTCTACAGCAGATGTGGCAATCCATATTAGAAGGTAGCCACATTCCATCTTGGGAAATACTCTGAATGCTTCTAGCAGATGCTTACCTGGTAAATCCCAGGTTGGTAACTGAGAATTAGATTGGCTTTGAAACAACCTGAACAATGGAAGCAAGTTAATCAGCCGCAGGCCAAAACCCGTAAGGGAAGCTGAATGTTGCTACCCTTTTGGGCTGCAGTAGAAGCGAAAGGTGAGAAAATCAAGCTTCGGAAGTACTTCTGTTCACAGAAATGCTCTGGTGGATCAAATCCATAGGTACATAAGTGCCATCAAGTCACAAACAATGTATGGCAAGCCTAGCAAGGGACTTTCAAGGCAAATGAGAAGCCATCGTGGTTTACCATTGCCTTCCTATGCAGAGTCTTCCTTAGTGGTTTCTAGGGGTGTGCAAACAAAAATAATAATTCAGCCCATTCGGATTCGGCTGAATCTGGCAGAATCAATTTCGGCTGGAAGTAAGACTCCCGCATGTCAGTTTCTTCAGTACCAGGCCATTGGGGAGTCTTTCAGCCAGCCGGATGTTAATTTCAGCCCCATTATATCCTATGGGTCATTGAAGTCAATGGCAAAAACATAGGGTATATTCTGGGGGCTGGAGGGGAGGGGGCTTGAGGGAGAGACTCCAAACTCACAGGGTAGCTGCTGGAGCCTCTCCCCAAGATACCAACCAAGTTTCAAGAGCATTGGACCAGGGGGTCCAATTCTACGGGCCCTCAAACAGGTTGCCCCTATCCCCTCCATTGTTCTCTATGGTGGGAAAAAACGTTACTTGGTTGGTATCTTGGGGAGAGGCTCCAGAAGCTACCCTGTGAGTTTGGAGCCTCTCCCTCAAACCCCCTCCCTTCCAGCCCCCAGAATATACCCTATATTTTTACCATTGACTTCAATGGCCCATAGGATATAATGGGGCTGAATTGTTGCCGAAATTCGGCAGCAAGCCGATTCAGATCAGAGAATCTGAATTGGCCTGCAGCAGCCTGAAATGGGTCCGAGTGGGCCATTTTCGGGGGTGCATTCGGTTTGGACGAACCAAATGCACATCCCTAGTGGTTTCCCGATCCAAATATCAACCTTGCTTAGCTTCCAAGACCTGATAACAGCAGGCTATACCATGCTGCCTTCCCTCCAGATCAAACCATACTCTTGTTAAAATAACACACATGCACACAAACTACTCTGTGGTAGGCCTGTGCATAGAATGTAGCCTGTGGTACATGATGGTTAAAAAAAACCCAACGCAACAGGTGTCAAGCGGAAATTTAAGCACTGTCTTGCAAAGCTCCATTTCTTATTGTTGCTGTATATCTCAAGGCAAACATGACAAACAACTGGGCTTTTTAAATAAAGCAGCAGAATGACTGTGTGAAGAATGAGTTATGGATGTCCTTGGGAATGGAGGGAAAACGAGAACTCTAATAACCCAAGATACAAGAGGCAAATGGACTTTTACACCATCTTCTCATATTCAAAATACAAGATACAAATTAAAGTCCTTTCTATGTGTAAATTAAAAGGACAGTCACACATGTTTTTTTTCTTAATCACAAATCCAAAGAACTGCATGAAGAGCATCTTTCCCACCTCTCCATTTCTGCAGCTCTTTGCACCATCCAAAAAGGTACTTGGGGGTCAGGGAGCCCTCATGAACAGCACAGAATGCACCATGACTGTAGCTCAAATGGGAGGCCTACAGAAATGAGACCCCTTCTTCCCATTCAAGCAGAAGTGTCTTTGGCTTATATAACTATTCAACCCTATCTCAGGCCATTGCTGTTTGTAACAAGCATTCAAGGTTTTCACTTTCTTTTCCAGTGCTGCACAATTGGATGCCACACAACATATAACTAAAACACTCGATATTCAAAAGAAAATGTTCACCCAGCAAAAGGAACGAGTGCTTAACATCAGTCTTATCCTACTGAAAAGCAATGCTTTGTCACTGGCTTCAAATGAGAATTACAGCAAGAAATTGAGTGAAAACAAAGAACACATGTAAGATTGGACTAAGAGGCAAATGGACTTCTACATCATCTTCTCATATTCAAAATTCAAGTCTTTGCAAAGAAGTGAACGCATCTCCAGCACAAGCAGCTCACCAGTTCCAAGAACTCCTCACTCTGTTCAAACACCATTTGCAGCCTCTCTTCATGTATTGAATCAAGAAGCTTATTCAACTTTGGATTTCAGGAGCATCCTTGACCTTTGGTCCATATCTCAAGTGACTGGTTAAGACCCAGCAAAGCCTTATGCTTCCTTTGCTGACCTCCTTGCTGATTCAACCAGCCTAGGACTACTCTTTGGATCAAGTTCAAAACCACTGTTTGTTTTATCAGGTTTAATACAATGGAAACTTTCATTGCCAAAGAAATCCAGCAACTGACAAAATGGAGTGATACAAGACAGGAAAGAAGACATTTTGGAAATATGTCTAGTTCTTTATTGTTATGCTGTTTTAAATACTGCATTAAAAAGTTAACATAAACTGTTTTTTAAAAAGCATAAGTGATCTAGCTTTACATTTTGTGCCTCACTGACTTAACTTCTTGACAAAATTTCTCTTATACAGAGAAACACATTCAAAGAATATCAATATTATGGACAGTCCTTCATGTCACGTGCTATAGCTCTAGTCCCTTTATTCATCCCCCAATTTCCACAATGCTCATTCACTGTTGGCTTGCTAGCATCCAAACAGTTCAGTGAAGTCATTTTCTTTCATTTCCATTGTTTTATTCAGACTGACCATGATTACAAACCTTTAAAAAAGATTGCTGCCAGGACAAGGCAGTCTTCATACCTCATGAAGCAGTGATCTGCCACACAGCTTTGCTCTGTATCTTGGGCTTATTATGAGTACTAAATTATTAGATTTTAGTAATCACTATCTGGTCAGGGCATACTGCACACACTTTCATGCTGGGCAAAAATATTTCCTCTACTATGCTGATCTTCATGCTCCACACAAAGTTGCAACTTCAATGCAGATTACTTTGTACTGAATGCACTGGCATGAATTACTTTTGTATGGTATACTAGAATGAGCTGTACCTACATAATGTTGACAGGATTTCATGGGCAACTGTTAAGATTTTGACATACAGGTGTATGTTCAGAAATCACACCTTAGAACAGATGGATACAAGAGTCCTGCAGGTCATTAGTGTATGCCATCTAGCCTACATGCCATCTCTGTCATGTTCTAATAGGTTCCAGGATCCCTATTTCTATCCATTTTAGGGTATGACTGAGAGCAGAGAATCAGGGAGGCAGCAAAATGGTTTACTGCCTCCCCATATCTTTGCCTGTCTACCATCTTCCTTCTCCAAACTCATCCGCATTCAATCCTCCCCACACACTGTGGAGTTTTAAATTATGCTCTGCTTCTCAGCTTTCCATCACACATTTCCAAAGCTCCTTTTTTAAGGGAAAAGGGGCATTTGGGCTTCTATTCTAATACATGCCCCTTAGGTTTTCATCTGGATAGTGAGAAAGAACATTAATCCCAAATTACAATCCCTTTTTCCCAAGTTGTCCTCTCTTCAATTTCTCTATATTGTAGATGCCTGTACTTTTTTTACTGTTTAACTATTCTTCTACAAATTACAAAAAATCTCTCTCGAAGCCTAAGGAATGGATCAGAATAGTTGTGTTAATGCTTAGTTGTCCTGCCCACGAGCTTGGAAACTTTTGTTAACTGGGCTCTGCTAAATCACCAAAAAGAACATGCTTCCAGCAGTGTGGGTATGCATATATATATTTTAAGTGGCATATTCTGATTTTGTTCTTCTGCCAATATTAGCAGCAAACCATAGCTAATACTCTATTTCGAAGAGGGTGCAGTTCTCATGAACACACCAGTTTTTAAGTAGATGACATAACAAGAAGTCTTGAGAATGTGTCACATATTGACCTTTCGAAAGCAAAATCGACTCACTTAAAATTTCACACATTGAATGCTTAAATACAGAGAACCTAGAATTGCCACTTCTGACAAACCCTCTACACATTTAGATGGTTATTTTGGCTATTTTTTAAAAAAAGACATAAAAGGTAAGGAAATGGGGGAAAGGATGACATTAATCTCCAAATACAGCAACATTCACATCATACTGGAGCCACCTATGCAAACAGGTTTTTGATAAATATACTGACAAAAACAGCATTTTAAAAAAATTCAATACCAAAGCAACATGAAAGATATGAAGAATAAGATCATCATATGGCTCAGGTGTTTACAAATTATCTTTTATGCATTAAAAAACTTAAGGGCATGAAGAAGAAAAAAGCCTCTACTTGGAGTTTGTTTTAAAAATTTATTACAAGTAGTAAATAATAAAGATTAAATATTCACCTAGGAAGCCAGACTGGATATAACATCCAATTTGGAGACATTAAAAGAGCAATAATACTGAGGTGGTTTAGTGTGACCAATTAGAAAAGTGATCTACAATTTTTAAAAAATGTCATAGCAAAACTACAGATCTATTGAACAGTAATATTAGAATCTATCATAGAAGATGGCATTTCACAACTAGCGCTGTGTTTAACATTTCAGCACCACTGATGTGGACAGCGGCATTCTGAAGGCAAAATTCCCAGAACTGTTTCCTTGCTCTGAGTAGTTTCTGTCTTCTATGCCCCGCAGAAACAAAACAAAATGTGCTCTGAGTAGTTTCTGTCTTCTATGCCCCACAGAAACAAAACTGCATACATCATACAGGTCTTGTTCCTTCAGGAAGCAGGCAACTTCATGATAAACATACTAACAGTTGTTGACTGACTATGAGCCCAGAATCCTCTTCATCCAATATGAAGTCTCTCCAGTAAATGAATCAAATCTCAAAGTTAGATGATCCCCATCGGTTTCTTCAAGGATGTGTCTCTCCTTAACTCACCTCTACTGCGTCTTCTTGGAAATCAATTTTTACGGTTACAAATGCCACGTATAGTCTGTTAACCTAAAGTTCTCCAGCACTGCCTACAAGCTGATATGGAAGTTTAAATTAATCGCTTCTTGTTCCACACAGTCAGTCGGCCCATGTAAAATACCTCTTAACTTAAGCACACACTATGACTGATGTTTTTCTTAAACACTGGGTTCAACAGAGGGTGTATCTGGATTCCTTTCTCCTGATGTGTTCCTAGAGTGTTCGTGGAAAGGATGGGTTTTGCCTTATAATCCATTCTGCATGGGGATTCACGTGGTACAGATCTAAGAGGTATGTGTCTGGGTCCAAGCAATGCTCACCTGTTGAAGGAAAACATACTTTGAAGAATTATTCTGGAAGCTGAGCAAACCATCCTGTACCTAACAATGTCTAAATTGCTTTCAATTTTTTCCACCTTCCAAGAGTGTAAAGGCTAAACAGAAATACATTACTGTGGTGAGTAGGTGAAGGGGACAAAAAGAGGACTAATGTGAACGATTTTAGTCACAGTCCTCCAGACTCTTCACACTTTGCCCTGTATCAGCTAGGGCAGCTGTTGGAGGACAGTGAGATACATACTCCTGATGAAGCCAGATCAGGTTCTGGAAGGATTTGTGAACAGCTGGGAACAGGTGTGAGGACTACATCCTGAGAAGCATGTCTTCTCAGAGCCAAAAACAGTTACAATGAAGTTCACAGATCTCTGTTAGTCTGTAAAAAGTAAACTGCAAATGCAGCCACAATTCAAAACCAGGACTACACAGGTAAGGGAAGAAGACATCTGAATACCCAACCACATAAAGCTTCCATACAGCACTGGTCTATCGAGGTCTGCACTGTCTTGTTCTCATAGGCAGAAGCTCTCCAGGGTCTCAAGCAGAATTTTTTTATACCACCTATTACCTGATCTTTTTGAACTGGAGATGGAACCTGAGGCCTTCTGCAGGCAAAGCTAATGCCTTATCACTCAGCAAGTGTCCCTAATTACTTTTAACCCTTCAAAGCCTACTCACTTTTGCTAATTGAAACCAGACTTCATGCATGGATAGTAGCAGTTTTAAAGGGGAAAGGCATGCCATCTTAAAACCTGTATTTCTCCTTTATGCAAACGCTGTGTGAAGTCTGGTTTCAATTAACACAACCAAGTAAAATTCCCCTCCTTTCTTCCCACATGGCCTTGATTTGAATCCCGGCTGCATCCATGCACAACTTACATTTTACTCATTGACTGAGATCTGCGATATGACGCTGTTTTGACCTTCAAGTATGCCATATACTGGATACTTTTGTGGGGGGAAACAGTAATCCCTAGATATACAGTCATACCGAGAAACAATCAAATTGTTAAAATTTAGGCTCTTGTTCACAAATTTGTCTTCTTGGGGGGGGGATAGTGATGAGTAGCAGAATACCCACCCAACCACCCTCAATTCCTGCACCATTTAAAAACATTTCATAAAATTAAACACGTTATTGAGAAGCTCCTGCTGTCCAGGCCTCATCCAAACAAATTTTTTAAGAAGTGCCAAATGCCACAAAATCTAAGCCCCCCTCCCTCCTCCACCTTTAATTAAATTCTTCCCCTTTCCTGTGGTGATGCACACAGATTTCAGGGGAGAGGGAAGCCACAGCAGGTGGGAGGCCCTTTATGTCCACTGCAATCTTCATGGTCCCGAATCCAAGGTTGGGCGTTCCTGTGGTGCTCATCAGATCCATTCCAACAGGAGCAGCTCTTGCCTTTAACCAGCCAACTGCTCAGGTAGCTCACTAGAATAACTCTCCCCAATTAAAATACCAGAGTTTGAAATCACGTACTTATATTGCCACCAACTTCATACAGGAGCAAGTTCATCGACTCTACTGACCCATTGCTGCAAAAAAGAAGAACACTGTTATAATCAACACCATGGCCAAGATATTCCAGTGTTATCGATATTAACCTGAATTTACAGATGGGCTGGTCTGTTAGACAGACTTATTTGTAAGCTGGGTACATGTCAGTGGTGGTCCTGGTGAGCATCCTTATGAGAGGCTTTCATACAACCATCATGCACAGGAATGTGGGCTAAACCCACAGTCCTTTCTGCTATACAGATCAGAGAACCATCTATACTACAAACATACGTTTGCTGTATGCCAGTTTAACAATTGTGGCATACCCAGAGTGTCCTAGGATTTTTACTTTAGTAAGGAAATGATGATGAAAATTCTCTTCTAGAGAGCCCCCCCAATCCCGCTCTCCAAGATGTAAGCACCATTTAGCTGAGTCATGAACTAACTTGTAACATGCGTATACACACCTGACCCCGTCCCAACCCATACTTCTCTCTGGAAGTGTTGAAAGAAACTTCTCTTTCATTTTTGAAATGCCGTATATAGACCATACCATGGTAATGGGTGTGTAAGTCCAGCCTGGAGTAAAGAGTACCTACTTCTCCCCCCTTCCCATGTTGGGGTGGGCTCAGAGCCACCACCACCCCTTTTACAAAACAACAATTCCCAGGATTCCCTGGGGAGAGGGAATGATTACTAAACTGTCTGGGCATGTGCTGTAAGATATGCCACTGTTCCCTCAAGCTCCGGCAAAGGGCTAATTTGTCAAGAGGAAAATAAAAGCACAGCAAAGAATCAATATCAAGCAGCAGCGCAGCTCAGCAAGAATCTAATTCAGGTGATGCTCAACTGTGCCAATGAAAACTGCAGGCCTAAAGTAGAGATGGGAGCTGTTAATAGAGTATTAGCGCTAATGCTTGCAAATCCACTGCGACATTCCCAATAGTCTCTCCTTTTTAACCTTCCACTAGGCAGATTTATATTTATCTACTGAAGAAAGAAACCACCACCCCTTGTGTACAGGTGAACAAATGGATGTAGAAATAGAATCTCTCTTTCTGAACCAGTCAGTATTCCGGTCACAATGATGAAGTCTGACTACAACTTAATTAATTGCTCTTTATTTACTCCACTTACATTCTGCTGTTTCTCCCAGGAGCACAGAGACGCTTACATCCAGCTTCCAGGCATGTAATATCTCATTGGCTGAACTGCTTTAGCTGCAGCAGCAGACGACTCATTACTCTTATAACAATGTCTACAAACTTAGATGTGGCATAGTGGCTAAAGTGTCAAACTAGGCCCTGGAAGACCCAGGTTCAAGTCCCCGGTCTGCCAAGAAGCTCATCAAGAGATCTCACACCGACCATTCTCTCTTGTCAAAACCTGCGTCACAAGGCTGTTGTCAGGATAAGATGGAGATGGGGAGAATCACACATACTGTCCAGAGTGCCTCAGAGGAACGGCAAGATAAAATATGAAAAATGTTAAAGGGGGATGAGACAACTGATGGAAAGTGAACAACTGACAATAGGTGCTGCAGAGGGCACTGCAACGGCTACTTTGGGAAACAGGGTGATGGAGTTTTGGCTACTCTTGAAAGAAAAAACAGGATATAGATATTTTAATGTTACTGCATTTTATGTATCAAACCAATTTGTCATTGTGAAAACTATAACTATCAGGTGATTATAAATAACCTGGGAGAAGCCTATAAATCAGAAGATGGCTTTTCATGCACAGGTCTTCATAGTTTTGCACTCTTTAACAGAGTTTTTACAGGAAAAAACAATCCAAGGCACTGGTGTCAACACGTTCATTCCAGCCTCACTCTGCCCTCAAGAACAGGACAGTCTTCTGGTTATTACAGATAAGGAATACCCGAACATCTCACCAAATACATCAGCGTGTGTGTTCGTTTTGAAGGCAGTTTTGTAGGTTTTATCACAAGTCAGATCAAGAGATTAAAATGCAAACCAACATTTTCAGGACTCTCCTGCAAAGCCTTAAATGTCATGAAGCCTGACGAGTTGTGTCAGCGGTAGAAAAAATCCCGAAGAATGTCAGACACAAGCTCTGTGTGTGTTAACTCCTGTCAAGCTGCTTCCGACTTATGACAACCCTATGAATTAATGACCTCCAAAATGTTCTATCGTTAACAGCCTTGCTCAGATCTTGCAGACTGAGGGCCTTTGTGGCTTCCTTGATCAAGTCAGCCCATCTCATGTTGGGTCTTCCTCTTTTCCTGCTGCCTCCAACTTTTCCTAGCATTATGGTCTTTTCCAGTGACTCTTGCCTTTTCATCATGTGGCCCAAGCATGAGAGCCCCAGTTTAGCCATTTTAGCTTCTAGGGAGAGTTCAGGCTTGATCTGGTCTGGAACCCACTTATTTGTCTTCCACAGTATCCATAAAACACCACATTCGAGACGAATCGGCTTTCTTCCTGTCAGCTTTTTTCAGTGTCCATCTTTCACACCCCTACATAGTAATGGGGAATATTACGGTACGAATTATCTTGATCTTGGTTGCCAGTGACACGTCCTTGCACTTAATAATCCTTTCCAGCTCCTTCATGGCTTCCCTTCCCAGTCTCAGTCTCCTTTGGACTTCTTGGTTGCCATCTCCCTTTTGATTGACGATTGGGACCACAGAATGGAAAATCTTGAACAACTTCAATTTCTTCGTCAGCCTTACAGTTGTGTAATTTCCCAGCAGTCATTACTTTTGTCTTGATGTTCAGCTGTAATCCTGCTTTGGCATCTTCTCCTTTAACCTGCATCAGTTTTCATTATTTTCTGCCAGTAACGTGGTGTCATCAGCATATCTCAAACTGTTAATGTTTCTTCCATCAATTTTCTCTCCACCTTCATCTAAACTAATCCATCTTTCCTTTTGATATGTTCTGCATATAGGCTGAACAGAGAGATAAAATACATCCCTGTCTGACACCTTTGCCAAGGGGAAACCCTTCTGTTTCTCCACATTCCGTCCTAACAGTCACCTCCTGACCAGAGTATACGCTGTGCATCAAAAACATCAGGATTTTGCGGCACACCCATTTCTTTTAGAACCAGCCTTAGCTTCTCACGATCCACAACAGTCAAAAGCATTTTTGTAATTTATGAATAAAAACTATGCATCTCTAAACCCAACTTCCTTCCACGGTCCTTGAAACACAAGAGAAATAGCACTTAGTTAGGTGAGATGCTGGAAGAGCCATGAATCGATGGTCCCAGCATGGTTTTTCTTGATAAATAACAGGTGTAAAAGGCCCTTATTCAGAATGAGCCTGCAGTGCTGGGAGAGAGCTTAACTCCTCCCCTGTAAGTTTTTCCCAAATCCAAGTGTCCTCTTCCCATAGCTGTTGGCCCTATTGAGTTAAACTTTTTTTTGCCATCAAAAAGGGTTTTCAAGGAAAGAGACATTGCCTGCTTCTGTGCTATGACCCTGATATTCCTTGGTGGTCTCCCATCCAAAACCTAACCAGGGCTGACCATGCATATCTTCCACATCTGATAAGATGGGGCAAGCTTGGGCTACCCAGGTCAGAGTGGGTTGATCATGCAGGTTGCTTTATAGTCCTTGTATGCTTCCCAAAACTGAGCAAATAGCAGCTCAAGCAGGAGAGGCTTTAGGTTAGGAAATATACCCCCTCCTCCTCCAACTCTGGTCCAAATAATGCACCACAGGTCCACTCACAGATCATTTAATCCCCATATGGTTAAACTCTTACCTCCTCCTCCCTCCACACATACTGCTTATTGCTATCCAACCTGATAGTTAAAATCCTCTTTCCCAAGCCCATTGTCTGTACCACTTTCTGCTGAGAGGGGGTGGACGGGGACAAGAGACAGGGCATTTTCAGTATCTTGGCTTTGGAATGCCCCCCCACCCCGATGTTTGCCCATCACCTTTTAGGCTAAAACTTTCTTTTTACCCATACGAGGGGTTCCATCTTTTAAAACTGTTTTTATGGCTTGCTTCTACTCTGCAGACTGTTTTATCAATATCATTATACGCAGCTGAATAATTCAGCTGCATTATCAGCAATTTTTTATGTTTCTGTTTTTTTATTATTTGATTGTATTGTTTTTACTTTGTAAGCTGCCTTGAACAAGTGTCTGAGACGTGGTATAGGAATTCCCTATGTAACAACTCCCAAGTAACACAAGACGATTAAAAAACCCCTTCAGTCTGAATTAAGTTAAAATTAAACAGCTGGGGGGTTATTTTGGAAAAGAGATTCAAGAGCCAGAAAATCTGGGCTTTCTGTTTGCTGCCACTGACAATGTTCATAAATGCAGTATTCCGAAATAGTCAATAAAGGCATAATTTTATGGAAAGGTAGAAAAGTGATTCAAATAAATAAATCATGCTCTTGTTCAGGACCCCTAAAAGGCATATGTACAGTACAATCCCATATCATAAGTGTTTAATTGCTATGGCTCCTCTGAGAGTATCCTGGGAACTGCTGTTTGGTGAGGATGCTGACCATTTCTTTTGCAAGCAACCCCTAGTTTCACCTCCCAACACCAGTTCCTAGTTTTCAGTCAACGCAGCTCTCTTCACACTGCAGACGCAGGAAATCAGCACGTAAAGCCAAGCTGTGTTGACTTAAAGCTTAGTGACTTTTACCATTTGATGAGATTGACCGTGTTGACAATATTCCAGCCATTCTGACAGAGGTGCTTCTGGAACTGCCTCAGAACATCAGCAGCTTTGGTCCCATTGTTTAAGTGAACCTCCAGAGAGTCCTTCAGGAACAGGGAAGCTTGGACTTTCACTGTCTTGGACGGCTGAAAAATTAAGGAGGTGGCATGGGGGAGGGGGGAAGAAACACACACTGGTAAGGAAGTGAGGAGCACGCACAGATATAATACCATACGGGGGAAACGGGGCATTCATGCTGAAAGATTCTCATCCCTGAGTATCCACTATGTGTATGCATGTTCCCTCAGATTCCACATGACGGATGCAAAGTCACGATTAATATCAAATGATCCCTTTCGTCATAAAGCTGGACATGTGCTTTGACTAGGACTAGACTAAAGAAAGATATGCAGGGGCGCCCTCTGGTGTCTACATATGAGAAAATTCCTTTGTTGCAAGCAAAACTTGCCTGGTTTTAAAGGGGGAAGTATATAGACATATTTCAGGCACTTCAGAAAGTAGAGAGAAGGCAGCTAGTTGGTCCAGCTCACCCTGTGCAAAGAACTAGGGGCCTGGGAATGTAAAACATCCCAGTGAAAGAAACTCAGGAAAGGACTGGATTTGGGAAAACAAAAAGATGGGCCTCACTGCCCTTCATCTCAGTACCAGCGTATGCATGGACATTTCCAGTTAGGTCTACTTCACTAACAGAGGAAAGCACAAAGAACAGATTGGCCATTTCATGCTTGGTCCAATCCCAACTCTGAAAAATACGGGGATAGGAGAATTTGAGGAGGATCTGACTCACACAGCCAAAAGCTGTGCTTGCCTGTTACACAGAGGTCCATATTGCAAGTGTGATTTTAAACTGTAAACTTGCCTTGTATGCAATGGCAGAAAGGCAGTATACAAATGTTATCAAATAAAATATTTTGATTTGCATTTGAACTCTGAGACTTAACAGGACAGTGGCGTAATGAATCCAAACAGAGGGCTGGACTCCACCACAGCATTTTGGCTGATGGAAGGATTTCTCTTAGCAGAGTGCAAGTTTCTCGCCTCCCACTGCAGCTGCAGTCCCCCTGTTCTTCAGGAGCAGCAGGAGGGGGTGCGTGTGAGAGAAAACGGCTGACAGAAATCCTTCTGTCTGTGGAAGTGCTCAGTGGGATCCAAGCCAGAGTGTGGAGATCAAAGTAAAGTGCTCTCATTACAACAGAACTCACAACATGGGTTTCTTCTAGAACATACAGTAGCAATAAAACCCAGATAGATGCTGTAAAAGTGTCATGATTGCTTCATGGCACAGGCAACAATTTAGTTACCCTGAAATTTCAGGATCCATCACTTACACAAAAGAACGTGTAAATCTGTGACAGTAAATACATACTAAGAACTCAAAGTGCTTCACATTATCTCAGAACTCTTTACGGCACTCCTGTAAAATACATACTCTTTGTAAAGTTGAGTGGCAGAAACAGAAATTTGCCTAAGGCCGGCCAGTGAATTCCTGACCAAGCAAAGATTTCCAATGGGAATGTCCAGCTTGGAGCCCCTGGAGGTCATCTCAGACGCTCCGCATCTTAGACACACATCACTAGAACGGTTAGGAAATCTACCTCACAGGCTTGCAAAAATCAGGAAGCCAATAAGGTTAGTTCATGCCTGTATTTTCAAGTGTGAGACGGCACACAGATTTAACCCCACTGAATCATGATGGTGTTTTCCCAAGAGGATGAGACTCATCAGGAGGTACATGGTGGACACAGGAGAAATCCTCAGACCCCAGTTCACGTCCAACTGACCAGGTAGGGCCAAAAAACAAGCATATTAGAAGCATTTGTAGTTTTTTAAAAATTGTTGCAAGGCCCTGATCTCGACTGGATGTATGGCAGCCCCAGGAGCTTTGCCCCACCATGCCGTTTAAAGTGTAGAAATGGCCAATTAGCCAGCATGGCGTAGTGGTTAAAAGCAGTGGACTCTAATCTGGGGAACCGGGTTTGATTCCCCACTCCTCCACATGAAGCCTGCTGGGTGACCTTGGGCCAGTCACAGTTCTCTCAGAACTCTCTCAGCCCCACCTACCTCACAGGGTGCCTGTTGTGGGGAGAGGAAGGGAAGGAGATTGTAAGCCACTTTGAGACTCCTTTAGGTAGAAAAAAGCAGGTATAAAAACCAACTCTTCTTTTTCTCTTCTTCATGGGGAACAAGAGCACCAGGGGCCACTAATGCTGCATGCCTGATCCAGAGGAGGGCCTCACAACAATTTTTTAAAAAACTACCAGTTGTACTTTTGCCTTAAGTCACCAACATTCATATGTGAAACCTTGGCCACGTGCAGGTTTAGCACGTGACTACCAGGAACCTCGTCCCCACCCTTTAATAGCAGGAAAGCAATGGTGGTGACAAACAGTGGGCAACACAGGCTCTCACTCACTTCGGCATGGTTCTTTTCTGCCTTCTCCTTGTCCGTGTGAATCTTCCTCAACAGGTTTTTGATCCTCCTGTCGTAGAACTGGTACTTTCTGCTGCTACTCTCATTCAGCTTTCGCACTTGAGCAACCAAGAAAGACGCTACCTAAAAAGAATGGCAAATTATGAGAGCTGAGATGGGATACAGGTTTACATATGCTGCAACACTCTCACCACCTTTAAAGAGAATTGTGCTGTGAAACTTCTCAATGTACCCAACGAGGATGGGGAGGGAAACAGAAGGTATCCACACCAAGGTGTAAAAGTAGCAGCCTGATTCTGAACAAGGAGGGAGAGTACGATTGGCAGGCCAGTGATTTTGTCCCTGCTAAGCCTAGATCTGTTTCAACCCAACTTTACCCAGAGCAACACACCCCTGTGGGACTGCTACTTTTGTTATGCTCCACCTCCTCAATCTTTAATTTTAAGGCTCTCTCTATTGTCTCTAGCCTCCCCTGCAATGCTCCTCCAAATATTGGGCTTCTTTCTGCCCTCCTGATCCCTTCCCCTCTTCTCCTTCCAAGTCATTTCATCAAAATCCTTGTTCTTTGAGTCCAAACCTCAGTTTCACTGGTACTAGGGCCCACTGGTCCCAAGCTTGGACCAGGAATCAAAACTCCTGTAGGGGCTTTGTGCTTCTTTATTTTCAGACTCCTGCTAACCACCGTTACCCACTGAACACCTGCAATGCACCAGTGACTTCCATCCTCTCTTTACAGATTTTCAGCATTTTCACATTTTGCTTTTTTGTGGATACTGTTAATGGAGACAGTAAAAGTGTAAGGGTTGCCACTTTAAAAATGAAAGTCCCATTTTGACTAGGGGTGTGCAAAAAAACAAAAAATTCGGCCCATTCGGATTCGGCTGAAACGGGCTGAATCAATTTCAGCTGGCAGTAAGATACCCACATGTCAGTTTCGTCAGTAGTGATTTGGGAGTCACCAGCCGAATGTCAATTTCAGCCCCATTATATCCTATGGGCCATTGAAGTCAATGGCGAAAACATAGGGTATATTCTGGGGGCTGGAGGGGAGGGGGCTTGAGGGAGAGACTCCAAACTCGCAGGGTAGCTGCTGGAGCCTCTCCCCAAGATACCAACCAAGTTTCAAGAGCATTGGTACCAGGGGGTCAAATTTTACGGGCCCCCAAACAGGTTGCCCCTATCCCCTCCATTGTTCTCTATGGTGGGGGGGGAAGTTACTTTTTCCTACCATAGAGAACAATGGAGGGGATAGGGGCAACCTGTTTGGGGGCCCGTAGAATTGGATCCCCTGCTCCAATGTTCTTCAAACTTGGTCGGTATCTTGGGGAGAGGCTCCAGCAGCTACCCTGCGAGTTTGGAGCCTCTCCCTCAAACTCCCTCCCCTCCAGCCCCCATAATATACCCTATGTTTTTGCCATTGACTTCAATGGCCCATAGGATATAATGGGGCCGAATTGCTACCGAAATTCGGCGGCAATCCAATTCAGATTAGACAATCTGAATCGGCCTCCAGTAGCCCGAAAGGAGGCCATTTTTGAGGGTGCATTCGGTTCAGATGAACCAAATGCACATCCCTAATTTTGACAAACAAGTCATCTTCTGTTTACAGATGCAAGAAACTCAGATGCTCTAATTTCAGACTCATTGGGCCTAACTTACAGTCCAGAGCAAATCCTGATAGTGGATCATCATCCGCACAATATCTGCCGCCCCTTCCGCCAGCTGTTTCTCCTTCCCCTCTGGGATCTTGTTCGGCAGGCCCTTGTGCATGAAGAGGTTCGGAGCGATAACTGTGGAAACATTCCAAAGAGACATCTTGTTCTTTTTCTCTTTGGAAACCACCAGTCTCAGGAACTCCAATAGAGCCTGGAAGTGGGCGAGAAAGATGTTCATGGTCAAATTTAATAGCAAGTTTTATCTCTCTTACCTACAGGGAGTTTTTCCTCCTCTCCTCTCTGTTTTCCATCATGCAACATCAAGGACAGAATACACTCTAGTGGCTTTGTATGAGGTTGATATTCTATTGTACAACCTGTAATTTGACTTTTAAGACAATGCTTCATTTATTTATATAATTTTAACTAAAGAACCTTATTTATGCAAACACATTACAGATTCCCCTGAAGAAGCCTGTTGGTGAAACACATATGGAATTTTAACTGAGTAATAAGATATATTTTTACTTTATTTTGCACCATCGGCCTTGGCCTTATTTTTTAAATCTCAAATTAATAGCAAGCAGCAACTAGTCAGCTTCAGCTTTAAAAAAGTATGACAGCATCTCTCCCCCCCACATATGAATACTTGCATCAGCATGAGATTCATGTCTTCTGTACGGCAGTACCTGCTGTTTTAAGACTGCAGAACACATGGCACATTAAGAATGTTCTAGTGTGAGGGCACTAGAACACTCCTTAACATAGACCCCCCCATGGGAAATTTGTAAACCTGACCACCCCTATTTGCAAAGGCAGCCTTTTAGTCTACAGCCATGGCAGTATGGCAAGGGATGACCAACAGCCATTTTAATCTATCTAAACGGTATCAATAATGAGCTCAAAGCTGGACCAGCTTATAAACAAATAATTTTTATTATTTTCTGATACAATCAACATAATATTATACATACAAGAATAGTTAAGAGTAGGCCTCTTAAACTTGGCTCTGATGATAGTGCTGCAAAGAGACAACATCCACCTGCCCTAATGAATTATAAACATACCTGCTAGGTAGCAATTGTATGTAGCATGCTTACTCCAAGTCTGCGTCCTGGCCTGCATGAACTATGGAACACTAATCTAGTTCATTTAACAGCTTGCCTCTCGGATCCCATCTAGATTCTTTCCCTGGGGTACATCTGCTCAAAACTGATATCCAAGACCAAGCATTTATTCCCCACCTAAGTGGTGGCACCTCCCATTGGGTTTGCAGACCCCAGCCCAGGGGCCTTCAAGTCATGCCCTGTGATCCTCAAGTGGATCACAGATATCCACTTGCTGGGCTGCAAGCTGCCATAGGAACTGCCTTTATTTCTGCATTTTTTTGGACAGACCTGCTGCACATAAGTAGAGACAGCAACAGTGCCATGCCTCCTCCCTCTCTACCAGGTCACTTGGTAGTAAAGAGGATTCTTCTTAGCACAGGAAGGTTCAAAGACCACCTCCTCCTCCTTACCCAGTAAATGCTCTCCCTTGGTTCCTTCTCTTTTCACTGCCTAGCTCATCAATTCATCCTACAATCTAGGCAAAGGGAGGATACTCTGCTTCTTGGGACATAAGAAGTTTTAAACGTGTTTTTAATGTTTTGTTCTAATGTGTTGTTTTTACCGTCCTTTGGTTCTGGAGGCCTGGGAGAAAGGAGGGTATATTTTAAATAAATAAAAATAAATAATAGTCTGGACATGTGTGGATGTTATCCTTTGCCTTCATTTTTGTCTCCCAACAAGGCCTACCCCAGCCATGCTCAACCCACACGAGTTGATTCATATATGCTCAATGCGCACTTGAAATGCAGAGCTTCTCCAGCTCCAATAGTGCGGTCCTAAACCTGGCTCCTTCTTTTCCATATGATTTTCTGGCCTCCCCTGTTTATGGCCCCTTCCCAGCGCCTTGCTGTTTTTAGATAATACTATTGGGCACTGGAGTTTTCCGGAGTACCTATATTCACCTGATATGAGGTATAGGGTTTGTTGTTATTGTTTATCGTGCCATCTACTGTTTCATTGTTTTTAGTGTTTTTATTGTTTTATGGATTTTATGCTATAAGCCATCCTGAGCCCACTTGTGGGGTAGGGCAGGATATAAATTAAATTAATAACAACAACAACAATAATAAATATGCTCACAATCAGCAAGTTCCATACTGTAATCAAACAGCCAGTCCTTGAGCATTTAGAGAGGATGACTATGGTTAGTAAGAGCCAGGTTTCTCAAGAACAAGTCCTGTCAGACTAACCTTATCTCATTTTTTGAGAGAGTTACTACCTTGTTGGATAAGGGGAATGCTGTGGGCATAGTTTAACTTAATTTTAGAAAGGCTTTTGATAAAGTTCCACATGGCATTCTTGTTGTCATTGGTAAAACATGGTTTGGATCCTATTACTATTAGGTCAATTTATTTATTTATTTTTAAGCCCCCGGAGGGGATTTTTTTATTACATTTTCTAAAGACTACAAACTACAATGAAAATCAGGGAGGGGAACATCTACATCTAGGGAGAAAGTAAAGATAACCACTACTAACTAAAACCCCAAGAATAGGAGATCATTACATCAGCTTATATAAGTATTAATCTTAAATGCTAATAGTACATTGAACATAGTCGATTAAGCTAAGTTATTTATCTTTTTTACCATTTTTAAGTGTTTAAAGAAAACACACCAAGAGCATCATTTATAACAAATGCTTCAAGACACCAATCAGAGTTCTTCAGCCTTCACTTTGTTTTATCTTTTCTAATCCTCAAATGATATTCTCGTTTAGGGGCTGCCGCCCCCTTTTCTGAAGCAGAGTCCTCATCGGAGGGCACAGAGTCCTCTTCGCCACCTGTCTGTCCTGGTCCCTGCATTGTTCAGTATCTTTATAAGTGACTTGGATGAAGATATAGATGGGATGCTCATTTAATCTGCAGATGATATTAAACTGAGAGGGGTAACAAATATAGTAGAAGATAGAATCAAGATGCAAGATGACTTTGACAGGCTGGAAAACTGGGCTAAAACTAATAAAATGAATTTCAACAGAGATAAATGTAAAGTTCCACATTTAGGGAGGAAAAATCAAATGTGTAATTATAAGATTGGGGAGACTTGTCCTGGCAGTAGTACACACAAAGAGTCTAGGGATTTTAGTAGATCTTACACTGAACGTGAGTCAGCAGTGTGATACAGTAGCTAAAAAGGCAAATGTGATTTTGGGCTGCATCAACAGAGGTATAGTGTCATAATCATGCAAAGCAAAGGTATCATTTTACTCTGCTCTGGTTAGACCTCATTTGGAGTACTGTGTTCAGTTTGCGGTACCACAATTTAAGAAGGATGTTGGTTCCCCTGGAGCCCGTCTAGGGGAGGAAAACAAAGATGGTGAGGGGTATGCAGATCAATTCTACAAGGAAAAGTTGAAAGAGCTGGGTATGTTTAGCCTGGAGAGAAGATGACTGAGAGGTGATATGATGGCCATCTTCAAGTACTTGAAGAGTTATCATATAGAGGATGGAGTGAAGTTGTTTTCTGTTGCCCCAGAAGGTCAGACCAAAACCAAAGGACTGAAATGAAATCAAAACAACTTCCTGACAGAGCGGTTCCCCAGTGGAACAGGCTTCCTTAGGAGGTGAACACATGAAACTGCCTTATACTGAATCAGACTGTAAGTTCCTCAAAGCCAGTATTGTCTACATAGAGTGGTAGCAGCTCTCCAGGGTCTCAGCCAGAGGTCTTTCACATCACATACTGTCAGATCTTTTAACTGGAGATGTCGGGGATTGAACCTGGGGTTTTCTGCATGCCAAGCAGATGCTGTACCACTGAGCCACAGCCCCTCCCAGGTGGTGAGCTCTCCTTCTTTGGAGGTTATTAAGAAGAGGCTAGATGGTCATCTGACAGTAGGCAGATCATGTGTGGGAGGACAGGAAGGAATGAGTCAGTGCTTTGTTCTCATGGCCCTTTATTACATGCCCAAAGTAATGCCAACCACCACTTTGGAGTCAGGAAGGAATTTTTCTCCAGGCCAAACTGGTCAGAGGTCCTGGAGATGTTTGGTCTTCCTCTAGGCATACAGCAGGGGGTCACTGCGGGGGTAGTTGTGAATTTCCTGTGTGGTGCAGGAGTCGGACTAGATGACCCTTGAGGTCCCCTGCAGCTCTATGTTTCTATGTCACCTGGGGGTTAAAGGTGATTCCCAGGTCTGGAAAGGCTGAAGACATGTCTGCATGCATGCATGGACATGCTCTACTAATGAGTTTTGGCCTCCTTCCTAATTCAGAGACATAGAAATTGCTCAAGTCATGGCTACCCAAATAGTTACATGATAATGTTTCCAAGATAATGGATTCTGTAGGAGGTGGGAGCTTATTACCTTCAAGGTGTTTCGGTTGGGCTCTGGCAAAATCAGAATAAGCAGATTTAGAGCTTGCAACCTCTGTTTCAAGTCTCGGATATCTGTAGTGGAGAGATTAATCCAAATTATACATCAACATGATTTTTGTTCCTACAGACAGCTAAACTTTCAGGAGCCACAATAGGGAACTCCAGGGAAAATACAGGAAATGCAAGAAAATTTAATTTTAGATTACTGAATTTCCTGGGCAACACAAAGGAGATGAAGTTATACCAACCAAGCTATTTCTGATGGGACTTTGCATGTCCAAATCCCTCTCCACAAATATAAATGTCTGTTAGTTTTACATCCCAGCAACAATATCAGTTCTGGGATTTTTTGGGGGGGAGGGGGATGTTACAGTACCCCCAGTTCTGACGCCCTTAGCCTGGATGAGGCAGGACATGCTGAGAATTCTCACATAATCTTCCTGGAGTGTGCTACAGAAAGTGAGAATGGCAGTCCAGGTAGGGTGAGGTCTTTGCTGGTCTGGGTCACTCTGGAAGATTTCCTACCCAACAACAACCAAAGGCAGCACCATGCAAGCAAGCAGGTTGCTGCATCTCACATTCACTTGCCAGTTTGGTGTAGTGGTTAAGTGTGCGGACTCTAATCTGGGAGAACCGGGTTTGATTCCCCACTCCTCCACTTGCACCTCCTGATGTGACCTTGGGTCAGTCACAAGCTCTGGCACAGCTGTTCCTGAAAGAGCAGTTTGTGTCAGAGTTCTCTCAGCCCCACCCACCTCACAGGGTGTCTGTTGTGGGGAGGGGAAGGGAAAGGAGTTTGTAAGCCACTCTGAGACTCTAAGTGAAGGGCGGGGTATAAATCCAATCTCTTCTCTCTTCTTCTCTTCTTCTCTATAAGATTAATCTTCTGTATGCACAGTTGGCCAACTTTCCACTAGTTCATTCAACATTCATTTGACATACATGAAGCTGCCTTATACTGAATCAGACCACTGGTCCATCAAGGTCAGTACTACAGACTAGCAAGAACTCTACAACTCTTCAGACTAGCAGCAACTCTACAGGCTCTACAGCCTTTCACATCACCTACTATCTGGTCCTTTCAAATGGAGATGCTGCCATTGTACAAATGTTTGTGATATTCGAGCAGTGAAATGCACACAGACAGCACCATGCACAGATGTCTACTTTAGAGGGAGCATCAACCACATCTCTCTTGCTTTATTCCCTATAGAATACTCATATTTAGACTTAGAAATAATTCACACACCACCACTTAACTTCTCCTTCACAGTCAAGCAAGGACTTTGACCTGGGTCTCCCCTTTCCAACCACCACATCACAATGACCCGCAAATGAGCCAGAAAAGTAAGACAAGGGGCTAGTGGTCAAGATAGCAAGAGGCCAGTCTCTGTGGCCAAACGCTCACTCTGCACAGCTGCGAAGGCAGGCAAGTATTCTGCTGTCAGCAGAGGAGTCGGGAGTTCCCGGATGAACCTCTTCAGCAAGCCAGACACGTCGTTCTGATGGACCTCATCCCAGTGGAAGAAGCCAGAATAGAAGCTGCTTTCTAGCTTCTGTTCCAGACTCTAAAGAAAAAAAGGGGAGGGGGAGAGAAAGGGAAGTGACCTCCTAGTCGTGAGAAGATAGCAGAGTTGGCGTAAGGGTTTTTAAAAATAAAGCACTGCCCAAAAAGAAAACAAGCAAAAATATAACTTCTGCCCTTTGAGTCAAGACACACACACACACACACAAAAGGAGAGGTCCTCTTTGCTTGCAGCCACTCCCTTACAGTTTAGCTAGAGCCACTATGTTTTTAAAACAACTCCTCCTAAGTACTGGAAGCTACACTGAACCTTCCACTTTTAATATGTTGTCGAAGGCACTGATCAGATGGGAAAACTTATGAAAAAACACAACCTACAAACAGTATTCAGACCCACCAGAAAAATACAACAGATGCTACGATCGGCAAAAGACAGAAGAGACCCCCTCACTTCTGCAGAAGTATACTGCATACCATGCAGTTGTGGACACGTTTACATCGGGACCACACAGCGTAGCATTCGGACAAGAATAAAAGAACATGAAAGACACTGCAGACTTGGCCAACCTGAAAAATGAGCAGTGGCTGAACATAGCCTAACTCAAACAGGACACAGTATTTTGTTCCAAGACACTGAAAGGTTGGACAACACTTTCAATTACCATGTCAGATTACACAGGGAAACCATTGAAATTCACAAACATAAAGATAATTTCAACAGGAAAGAAGAGAGTTTAAAAATAAATAGAACATGGCTTCCTGTCCTGAAAAACACAAAAGGCTTTACATCAGACAATAGCACTACAGATAAGATTAGAATTTCAACAACCTCCTCAGGAAGCAGGAAACCTCCTCAGGAAACAAAAGAACCTCCTCAGGAAAGCTTCTCCATTAGCATGTCCATAGCCTGGGGAACTCCTACAAGACAATGACTCAGCCCTACCCACCTTCTGGAGTAGATATAAATTTACTGCCTACCATTTTCTTCTCACCTAGACACAGAGAGTATTCCATCTTTCTGTGTTTATACCTCTGAGGATGCCAGTCACAGTTACTGGCGAAACGTCAGGTTCTACAATGCCAAGACCACAGCCACACATCCCGGAAAATCTACAGCAACTTCCACTTTTAATTTTGAGGAAAATAAACTGTACCTTAATGCGGGTCTGTGATCCTGAGACTCTCAGGATTCCTTCTGTGTCCAGCCCCCTCTTTTCCAAACATGACAGCAACTAAGAAGCAAAATACAAAGAAGGTCATTAAATCTGCTCTCCCCCCCCCAAAAAAAAAGGCTCTGCAACAAAATCCAAGGTAAAGGAGCATTTGGACAGCAACAATAGGAAGTATGGAAATTAATTAACTTACTGCTTGCAAAATCAATGGAACTTTGGTATTTGGGAGGAGTTTTTGATCATTTTCTAGCAGAGTGCCAAGCGGTACCCCAAAGAGCTTGTTCTCTGCAATGGAGGATAAGATGTTATGTCACTCAATCAAAATGAAACTCAAATGAGTGATCTGCAGTATGACAAAACAGAGCAGCATCAAAATCATTAGAGTGAATTGGCATAGTTATTATCTTGCAACAAGGGGGACAACGACTCTGTATGGTGGTTCCCAAATGGTGCTCACCTGGAATTCTTGACCATACACCTTACAGTGTACCAGTCTATCAGTGCTTCCAAAAAGTAAGAAGAAGAAAGCGCAGTCAAGTCACAGTGACCCCATAGGGTTTTCAAGGCAAAAGGTGGTTTGCCATTGCCTGCTTCTGCATCACAACCCTGGCATTCCTTGGATGTCTCCCATTAAACCAGGTCCAACTCTGCGTAGTGTCCAAGATTGGGCTAGCCTGGGCTACCCAGGTCGTGGTTCCCAAAAAGTAGTTCCCCCAAGAACTAATGATGTGAAAAACCCTGAGACTCTGAAGATTAGTCCAAACTGCTCTTGCTAAATACATGGTCTGACTCAAGGGAAGGCAGCTGCATACGTTTGTGGCTGGCAATGAATGCAAAACCGCATCGGCCTCTCTAAGTCCTGCTTTGTTAGCCACCATCAACAGGGCTCCAGAGGGGCAGCCTATAAAACCTCTTAAGGGAATAAAGAGTGACAAGCAGAAAAACCACCGGAGATTCATTTAAAGGTACATGTGAGGCTTATCGCCATTAGATCTGCTGGGATGGGCACATCTCCACTTTAAAGAAGACAACATCCTAAAGAAGACTTTCAAATCTGACAGTCCACCAATTTTCCTTCTTGTTAGTTTGATCAATGACAGGAATCACCTGAAGCCAAGAATCCAACTAAAAGGAGAAGGTACCTGTTGCCTTCCGTTTTACTGCCTTGTTTCTCTTCAGCTCTAAGCCTAGGACATCACAAAGCGCAGTTAGCTCGATAAGTGCTAATGTGGGTATCTTCTTCATATCCTGTGGCGATAAATCTCCTATCCTGGTCACTCCCAGCCTGCCCTTCGGGATCTTAAACTTCTAACCCAAAAGGAGGAAAAGAAGAGCTCAGCACGACACTTTATGGTTAGCATTGACAACATTGTCATGTCTAAAGCTCAGACAGAAATTCAAAAGGTGTAAGAAGAGGTCTTACTGGTAGAGAACTCTCATCCTTGATCCGTCTGGATTCCCTTGGGAATGAGCCTTTGAGCAGGATAGCTGCTTGCTCTGAATAAGCAACTTCAGTGCTGAATATCTCTTCTTTTCCAGAGCCCCTCAATGGAGATGGGAAGTCTGGGACTCCAGTTGTGCCTGCTAAAACACAGTAGTTTAGAAAAGGAAGAAAAAACACAAACGACGTGAGATAAACTTGTATACACGACAACAACAAAACTCAATCTGAATATATTAGCAAGAGCTGAAATACACCACAGCCCTCATACTCAGTTTACAGTCCTTATCCAAGGGATCACAGCCCAGATCAGCCCGTTTTGAGAGCCTATGCCACTGCAAGCAACTAACACATTTTATTTACACACAGACAGACTACCCATATACAGAACACAATCACTGCAGTTTCTTTCACACAGCTGCCAAATATTTCGGTAGGAAGAACTACTTGGCATGGAATCCCAAGCTGATTTCTAAAGAATATATTTCTTCTGTTTAACCACAGGAAAGCTTCCTCACGTTTCTGATTGTTGTTGGATGACAGAGATCTGTGTTGCAATCGATCGATTTCTGAGCCCGGCTCTGGTGCAGTCTCCTAGACAGGGGACAGAAAGAGAACACACGTGAAATCATATGCTGAGGAACCGATATCATAGGACAGGATAACTAGATGTAGAAACTACAACAATGAACCATCATTTGTGAAGAGGGGAAAAGCCGCTTTTATTTATGAATAAATCACTCCAGTGAAACTCACTACACTTTTTAATATTACATTGGATAATATAAGTGCTCTGTTTGAACACACACGAAGCTGCTTTATACTGAGTCAGACAATTGGGTCTATCAAGGCCAGCATTTTCTACTCTGATTGGCAGTGGCTCTCCGGGGGTCTCATGCAGAGGTCTTTCAAAACACTCACTACATGATGTTTTTAATTGTAAAAACTTGATGACTGAACCTGCGACCTTCTGCACACAGAACAGACACTCTACTACTGAGCCACAGCCCCTTGCCATGATGCTAGTTCGGTCAGTGAAAGCTCATTCACACATGCGCGTACATCACGAGACTACAAAACTCAAGCGACACCATTCATGCATGAACAGATCTTTAAGCTGCAGTCCTAAGAATGCTTTCCTGGGAGTAAGCCCTACGGAACAAAAATGGGATTTACTTCTGAGTAGACTTGCTTAGGATGGTTAAATCAGGGGGGAAACCCAACCGATAATCTGGGAGAATCAAGGTGCCTGCACTAAGTTTCTTGCTGCTTCACATTGTTTTGCATGTGACTGTCCTAGGTAATCAGTGCCCTATGAACTGCTGCCACTCACATGGGGTTTGGCATGGTCAAACTCAACACAGCCCATATCCCAAACACCTGCTTTTTGGAGGGGACAACTCTATTCCTCACCATCAAAATGGCTTCCAGTTGTCAATTATAATGATTGCCAGGCAGAGGTTAACAGAAGGAGGAGGAGGGGGAGGAGGAAGAGGAAGAGGTTGGATTTATACCCCGCCCTTCACTACCCAAAGGAGTCTCAGAGCGGCTTACAAACTCCTTTCCCATCCCTTCCCCACAACAGACACCCTGTGAGGTAGGTGGGGCTGAGAGAGCTCTGACAGAAACTGCTCTTTTTCAAGAACAGCTCTGACAGAACTATGGCTTGCCCAAGGTCATCCAGCAGGTGCAAGTGGAGGAGTGGAGAATCAAACCTGGTTCTCCCAGATTATAGTCCGCACACTTAACCACTACACCAAACTAGCGAACAGCTAGACTAATTTTTATGACACAGAAGCATCCAGGTACACTTTCCCATGAAAAAGATGACTAAGGTATCTAGCCTTCCTGAAAGGCTGAAACCCTAAACCTGCAATTCCTAATTTCAATGTTGCTCCACTGCTAATAAAAAAGCACTCTTCACCTACTTGGGTCGTCCTACTATTATTAGTAGTAGCCAAGGCTTAACCCAGGAATTCAGGACAAGATTTCTGCTAAATTCTAGTTCAGATGTACTAGTGAGCTGAACTCAATACAACAGAACAGCTGCATCTGCTTATTCACTATTTGTGTCTCAAAACATGAGAGGGGAGGCTCTGCTTTTTACAACAAAAGGTGCACAGGTGAGAGGAGCTGAACTATCCCCTGCTTTACCTTCCCATGCCCCCTGAAATCCTTTTCTTGCCAGTCTTTTTCATTTCTGCTATTAAAGACGAGACAGGGTATGGGCAGGGTTTGCTCCATCAATACAACTTGGCCTTTTTCATGTAAAAGACACATCTCCACCTTCTACATGAAAGGGACAGACACGTGAATGATTCACACAGCTTCTCTTGTTGCGTCTAGCTTGGCTGGCTCTCTGCTGCATGGCTAACAAAGCCTCCAGGGTGAAAAGCAATCCAGGCTGAGTCAACAGAAGCAAAGTGGAACTGTCTGACTCAGAGAGAAAAAGTTTTACTGCTTCTTTTCCTTAAACAAGATCTGCAGAAACTTCCCAGTAACTTAGCAGATATGGGCCACTGCACAACAGGCATGCCACACAATGTGAAAACAGGACAGGCTTCCCAGCAAGCTCTGTAAAACCACTGAGCAATCAGGGTGTGCACAAGGGCAAGAAAGGCTAAGCTGGACCAGCAGGTTGCTCTGACAAGTAAAAATAGATCAGTGGAGTGGGAATGGAAGGAAGGTGGGGGTGTCAGGCTTTGAAGAATAAAGCAACGCCACAGACAAGGATACTACTAAGAAACCTTGAAGTGTTTTGATGGCATTTAAGTTTCAGATCACAGCCGCAGTCAAACAGATCAGAATATGATTCTGTGCATACAGCTAGCTTCATCTATTCCATCAGCAGAAACAAATTTAAAGCAAGCAGGGCTGCAGCTACTAGGACACATGGTTGTTTTTTGAAACTACTTTCGTTGAGGTGTATGAGCAGAGGAGCAAAACACGAGGATTCAAGACAAGCTTGTCTTTCAACACTAAAGCGGCAGCTCATTTCAGTACTGAGGGTTTGACACTCTGCATATTTCAGTAAACAATAGCTTAACTGATCTGCAGCTGTTCAATTAGCTCAAAATTCTCTGAATTGGTTCAGTCCTAATTCATATATTTCCATTTTACTCTATCACATCTGGACTTTCTTGGACGGCAAAATCCTCTGATCCCGTCTCCTCCTTGCATTTCTCAAAAACCCTTCAAGACAGCAAAACTGAAACTCCTCACATGTTACTACATTGGACAGTAGTGTCTGCTCTAACAGGCTCTCTAAGGTCTCAAACAAGGATCTTTCCCAACCTTGGGTATCACAGATATCCAACACAGAGGTTGACCTTGAGCCACTTCAAGGCCTCAAACAGAAGTCTCTTCCTGCATTACTACCCAAGACCCTGGCAAATGGAGATACCAGGGATTAAAACCTGAGACATTATACGAAGTATGTGCTCCCATGCTGAGCTATGACCTCTCCCTGGCCTTTTTCATCTTCTGTGATTCACACTTACATATACACACTTGCATGCAACAGGAAGAAAGTGCATGTGTGTATACAAGCATGCAGTCTGAACCTAATAAGCACTGCAGTTCTGGTCTTCCAGTATTTTGCAGTTTTAAGCATAGTATTATTGTAAGTTAGAACACTGTTCAGTATTTACTGGGTTAATGATGTTTGTTAAGTCACATGTTTGTTTGTATCCAATCTGTTTAGAGAGCTAGAAAGCCCGGTAACTTCAGATCTAGTTTGTTGTTCTGATTGGAGACTAGAGTGCTAAGTATGTATGTATGTATGCAGGGGTCTTGTTGTAGAAAAAGAGCTGCCGGAGCTCATTAGCATAACTCATTAGCATAACTTATTTGCATATGCCACGCCCCCTGACATCACCGGAAGTGACAGAAGGCCACACCCCCTGACATCAGTAACTTCAGATCTAGTTTGTTATTCTGATTGGAGACTAGAGTGCTAAGTATGTATGTATGTATTTATTTATTTATTTATTTATTTTAAGCATTTTTACCCCACCCTCCCCGCGAGCGGGCTCAGGGCGGCTTACAAGGGGTGCAAGCCCATATATAAAACCCAATAAAACAATAAAATCACAAAGTATTAGCATTTTATGGCTCTTTGTCCTGAGCAAGAAGAAGAAGCTTGTCTCCATTCCTTTTTCTGCCATGTTCTGTCTAGCTGTAAGAATGTAGGAATATAGCTCTTTGTTATTTTACATCCTGTATACCTTTTCCCCATGCTAGGTTGTAGTAAACTTTTATATTTTAAACACACCATGGACTCTGACTCTTTAATACTCTGCTGAATGCTGATTACTCTGCTGATTTACTTTAAAATTAAAAAAGAATAACCCAACAATTATGAACTCCTGAAATTCCCCCTTGTAACAGGTAGAATATTAGAAAATTTGCTACGATCATTAGCTATGCCTTCTGGTTTCCCTAGGACAACGTGCATACTGGTTTTTGTCCTGGTTCAGCTTTCTTCTTACACAAAAAATACCCCCCCATCTTAAGGATTCTTGCAAAGCTTCAGTTAATTGTTAAAACAGTAATGGGGGGGCAGAGAGCAAGCAAGGGAAGAAGGCCCACGCTCACTCAGGTTATAGGAACCAGCTCTAATTGTGGATATTGGACAACACAACAAGACTTAATAAGACGCTTTATGAGAGCTTATTTTACTTCATTTTATTAACTCAGGATCTAATATCGCCACAGAACAACAAAGCTGGTGGGGAGGAGGGGGGAGCTACTATGGACGGAAACACACAGAGGAACGTACCCCGGAGCCAACCACTCCAAAGATGTCTCGGACATCACGGACGGGCTGCTTGTTCTTCTTTCGCCGAGAGCGGGTGTAAGTATCCAGTCGTCGCTGCACAGCCGCAGCCTGGGTCTTGGTCAGAGTGGAAAGCAGGACGATATTGCCGTTCTCTGTGGTGTGGTCCCCAATCAGGTCTGACAGCCCAGCGTCTTGCAGCCATTCGGCTTCCGCTTCCCCCTCTGAAAGGCAAGGCCAGGGAAACCTCATGAGAGCTGCAGCACACAGAGTGGATTATAGAGGCAAACATAGGACCCAGATCTTGAACAAGCCACACATGCAGAACCTTGGTTTATTTCCAAGGACTGGAAACTTGGAAGGGCTTAGTGAGCCATCCCGTCCAGGTCCCAGATCCAAGGCGGGGTTTTCTCCTTTATCCTGGGGAGGGTGCCACTTTTCTTTTGCCAAGAAGAAGAACAACAACAAGAACCCTGCGGCATACATATATGCATTTGCATACATATATGGATTATTGTAGAGATTTGAGACGATGATGTATGCACATTTTAACAACCATTTAAAACAGTGATTCTATAAAAATAGTTTAATTTATTAATGAAATCGTTTAAATATTATTTGCCACACGGTGCTCACTGATGTTCTTCTTGGTGTTAATATAGTTACACTGTGGTCCCTTCGTTTTTGTTTTGGATAAGCAAACTTTTCTTTTGCCAGCAAATACTCGGTGTGTTTGACAGCTACATGATAGACACAGTTTCCACAGGAGAAGATTTTCCAAGCATAGATATGTAGCGATTGGGACATGAGCCTGAGCACACAAAATCCTCTGTAAATGGAGGCGCAATACTTGCACTTTCCCCACTGAACAACCACCACTCCCTTCCAAGGAGGAAAGAGAGAGAGAGAGGGAAAGAGAGGGGGGGCAGCACTAATATCCCACAACCTAGCTAGTACAAGAGGCCTGGGTCAACTGGCAGAACCACCTCTTTTAGAGTTGTTCAAAGGCTACTAAGCAAGCACTCATTGAGGACAATTCATATGTGGAACAGATAAATACAAGATGTGCAAAAGAGGTCTCAACTGTATGGGCTACCAAATTGCATGTTTCTAGTAGTAAACTTGACATGGGAAGCGAGCAGGCCTTTCCAGAAACAAAACTCTCCAAGGAAATCCAGTGTTGCAAACAGTATCTCATCTCCCATCCAGGTAGTAATACAGCAGGGGGGGGGGTCAGTACCCACCAAGTACAGCTATGCACAGGTGTTCTCAAAATGACAGAGATCCACTCACCCATCCCCTTATGCACGGGGCATTTTCAGCCAGAGGAACAGAAGATATCCCATCAATAAATAACCAACACATTCTCAGAGAAGGAGAATAGACAACTTTTACCTTAGAAGACTGTTAAAGAAGATGGTGCTGCATAAGCTAAAAGCCTGATTGACAAATCACCAAGTCCCCTGTTGGAACCTTGCCTCTTTCATGAGGGACTTAGCTGGCCTTATGCAAGCTGTGCCATCTCAGCCTCATCTGCTCATCTGCAATAGGGGCATAAATTCAACTGACTGATTTTACAGTGCTATGCTCTCCTGTTGTACGTCCCCGTCTCCCCCCCCCCCCCCCGTGGAATTGGAAGGTTTGCTGTGATGAGCTTCCTCTGCTAGATGAGGAGGAGGAAGAGATGATTTCCCCTTTCTCTCCTGTGCCACATAGCATTTCATTTACAACACTCCCCTGATCCCCAGTATTGATTTCTGGTGGGGGGCACACAGGGTTGCAGGGAGGGGGAAGTAGGAATTATCTTCCTCTGCAACCGTGTGCAGTTCATAGGATCCACTGACCAAGGCATGCAAAGCATTTTTGATATTTTGCCCCCTGGCATGTCTGAGGTCTTGCTTATTGATTTAGTGTTCTCTCCATTTTTCCCCAGGCAACAAGGGCCAGAAGACACAGGATAATGGTGTGGGGGCTTATGCGTGCACTCATCTCTCTTGAGAACGGAATTTTATTCCTCTGAACTGCTTTCCATCTGCCATTCCAGTTGTGAACAGATGATTACCAATATATGACTTTGCACCTCCCCACGGATTAGCTATTGCTCCTGTAAACACTTCAATCCCACTCCAGGCACTTGCGAATCTGCAAAATATTTCTTAGGGCGACACAAGAATAAAGATACCAGGCTATCTGGAGTGCCACCTAGTGGTCCCAAGCAAGAACTAGGCAAACACGTTCTGCGCTGTCTCTCCAGCATGCCACAAGAGAAATTCCAAGCAAGCCCTTGTTTCTCACTTCCTTTTACAACAAACAAACAAGAGACAGCTGCCCTCTTAGAACCATTTTAATTTCTTCTCCTCTTCTGCCTAACCAGCCACATAGCACACCTTAGGGCCCAAAGTCACAGAAAATGACCTCTCAACAACTGGCATTCTGCTGAGGAAGAAACTGCCTCTGAATGAGTGACTCTGTTTTAAAGACAAGGGTTGTGTTTCTTTTTAAAATAAACGAGCAAGATTGTATGCCAGAGTTTCACAAGTGCAAATTTGGCATGTTATGGCCAAGCACAGCTTTTGCAAAACCCAGCTTATGTCTACAGAGGCTACGCATACGGTTGCCAACCTCCAGGTGGTCAAAGTATACAAACAGTGAACAATGACAAAAAATATATAATTTGTAATTTAATAACAATTAAATTTATGTAATGCAATTAATATCTCAATTTCTATGTACCAAAAATTCAACAATCTTTTAGTATCCCTTGAAATACAAGCTTCAAGGATTCATCCAATTAAGGGTGGGCAATAATTGCCAAAACATTTCTTGTCAGTGCTGCCACGATTTCCCACAAAGCAGCTGGTGAAACAGGCATTATAGCTGGCCGGTTGAAGTCATGTTTGTGAGCCTTGTGGAAACACAGAACGGAAGATAAGTCATCTGACAACCTCCGTCACTTCCAGCTTTCAACAAGGTTGAATCATAGCAAAGACATTTGATGGAGTTGGAATATATGGAGTTCACCTGCTGAATGAATGAATGGGACTGTACCAGCAGTTTATAAATGCCACTAAAAGATTGTTGAATTTTTGGTACATAGAAATTGAGATGTTAGTTGCATTACATACATTTAATTGTTTATATAATTTGTAATTTTTGTACTTTTCACAGTCTGTATACTTTGCTTGACAACCTGTCCCGTGATCTCTCTACTTTTGTAACCTCCAGGTGGTAAATGGAGATCTCCTGTGTTTACGACTGATCTCCAAAGCAACAGAAATCAGTTCCCATGGAAAAAATGTCTACTTTGGAAGGTGGACTCTATGGCATTATACCCCATTGAAGTCGCCCCCCCTCCCAAAACCCCGCCCCTCCTTAGGCTCCACCCCAGATATTTTCCAACCCAGGGCTGGCAGCCTGACCCTGATAGTTAATAAAATGTATCACCTTTAACAGAAGGGATCAAGAGAAGCCTGTGCATGTGTGCAAAGTGCTTTCATAAGGGGGGGGGAGAGAAATTCCTTCTGGCAGCTGTTAGCTACTAATAGAATGCTATTCTAGAACACACAACCCCCCTCCCCCACTACTTTCAAGGGCAGCTTTTCAGAAGGCTGAGAGTGCTACCCCTGCAAGAAGAAAGCTACACAGAAAAGTGCGCATGACTCTTTAGATCTCAGCTAGTATATGCAGTTGACCAGAGGCAGGATATTGGCACATTTATAGATCTTGTTTAGAAAAGAAGACTGCAACACACCTTTATTATTTTGTTTATCATTACAGCTGCCACCACCCCACATCTTAGAGAAGAAAAGAGAGGCTGCAGTTACAACTCAGTGGGTGCAATGCATACCTTCCAGTCACCGATTTGTGCGTGGAGCTCCATGCCCCCAGGGACCTTTGCCTTCCCTGATATTCCTGTGTACATTCAAACCTTTGCAGACCTTGGGCCAGGAAATCCAGGGAGGAGTCAGACACTGGAAGCAGGTCTCCTCTCATCGAACTCTATCCACATCTACTCTCACAACAACTGTCCTTTATGTTCAGAACACAGATTTGTCCACAGAATATGCCACTTACTCAAAGTTACTGCAGCACCTAACTAGACATGGTCCAGAAGACTTGTGTTTAGATTTTCTCTTTCTAAAAACCACTAGATATAAGCAGGAGGTCAGTGCAGAAGATCTGGACCACGGTGGTGGGGGGGAACATTAACACCTTCCCCCTGCTGTTTTCCTTACCCCAGTCCCCAGTGGGAGAAAGCCCAGGTATACCACCTGGATACTAATGGGTTCTTTTTCCACCATGAAAAATACAGTTCAGGGAAGGAAGCAATTTGCACAGGTAAAACAGCTGGGGCGGAGGGGGAACCCCAGCTCCAACCCCCCCCCCCAACCTACTCACTGATCCCTTGGGTCATGTCTAGTTTGTTTCCAGCCCTCTCTCAATTGATGAGCCCAATAAACTTTTTAAAATACATTATTCTCACAACCCCCAGAGTTACAGAATCTTCTTACCTTCTTGGGGTTTGACTTCCGTAAGATTGCACTCCTCAGGCTCAGATTCCGCGCCCTCTTTGATGCTTTCCACCTCTAGCCAGAAAGTGTCCATTGATAAATTGCCTGCCGAGGCCGACCTGGAATGCCAGCGCTCAGATTGCAGCGGCTCCGAGGAGCTCTTCTGAGCCAAGCGACTCATTTTGCAAGGGCAATTTCTGATGCTGAGAGAGAGAGAACAAAACAAGACAAAATGTTACATGCTCCAGTATCTGGTTTGACAATCAGAGGTACAGCTAGTACGTCAACAGTCTCCAAACCCAATTAACAAGGGCAACTATCAGAGAGAGAGAGAGAGATAAATGTCCTATTTTCTATTTCTGTTTAGTGATAATGCAGGCTGCAGGCTGAAAACGAGCCCAATGAATGACGCGAGCGGAGCCAGCAACAATGCAAATTTCCTCGTACTGTCCTTTCTATGACCTAAAAGGGAACACCCTTTGGAGTGTGCAGGCAAGCATCACAGAATCAGAGGTAAATTAACTCCATCACAGTAAGAGCCTCCCAAACATTTGGATGGTAACCTTTGAAATCCTAAAACTGTTAAAGCAATCTGGTTTGGCTTGATCACCCCCATTTTTTGCTTGTAATAAAAGTGCACAAAATGTTATCAGGACACACATCCACACAAAAAGAGTCTGGAGGAATCTTAAAGACTACCAGACATTGCACTGTTAGATTTGGATGGAAGACCACCAAGGAATATCAGGGTCGTGACATGGAGGCAGGCAATGGCAAGCCACCACTGAAGTCTCTTGCCTTGAAAACCATAGAGAGTTGTCATAAGTCACCTGAGACTTGACGCCGAAAAAGAGAAGATTTTATAGGTGAGATGCTTCATACAGTGCTTGAACATTCAACGTCCCACCTCTGATGAAATGGGCTCTAGACTATACAAGTTCAGGTACAACAAACCTTTGATATGTCACCAGACTCCTCTATTGTTTTCTCTGCAAAAGCCTGGAATTCAAAATGAAGCATCACTCATTCATGTTGCGTAGCTCTTCTAGACAGAGCAGCCACTGCCCCTCTTCTACGTTTTGTCAAGTGGAGAGGGTTAATGCTGACATTTACAAGTACCATTATCAGATGGAACTATACTTCCAGTGTTACAGGCAGAAAGTTCAACTTACATCCCCATAATTATTACTGATGGCTGCCAGTAATGCATCATTGCTTATAGCTTCTCAGACATTTTAAAGTAGATAAGACCTAGACTTTCCTCATCTGCCTCTCGTCCTCCTCCTGTGCACACATGCATGCCTGCTCTGGATTGGAAAGAAGCATCCTATTGAATCTTTCCCCCTGAATCAAAGTGACTCTTTGCAAAAGAAAGCATCTACGCAATTCCATATCCACAGAACAAGTTGCAGGTTGGGGTGGTGGTTTGCTTTCAGAAAAGAACAGAAGAAACGTTTCCCAACGAAGCACTTGTAGACCTGCTCTGAAATGTTGTGATTTTTGTATGAGCTGCCATTTTGTGAGCATCTCTCCACCCACTGAGCCACCATTTTGTGACTGATAGCTTCCAAGGCTCTTGAGAGGAGAAAAAGACTCCCAGAAACAAAATCTGTCCTTCCTTTATCTAGGGAGGTGGAGAAATTCACAGGCCTTTGCTGTGCTGAGAGATCTTCAGCAAGATGAATGTATTGCAGCTTCCTTCACACTGAGGTCATACTGCCCATTCAGATAGAGTTGCCAACACTGTGCTGGGAAATTCCTGGAGATTTTAGGCTACAGGGTATAATGCCATAGAGTTACGATTGTCAGGTCTTACATCTATTTCGGTGGTGAAATTTGGGGACATTCAAGCAGTGGGCAGGGATGATGCAATGACATCACCCAGAAGTAACATCATTGTGTTGGGGATGCTCTGGTACTTGGGCAAAACTTTATGGTTTATTTGCCCCCAAACCATAGACCCAAATAACAGAGTGTCTCTGAGTCAATTGCATCAGTGACGTCACATGGCGATGTTCCTGTTTAGGGGTGGGGTTCCTCAGTGGCCAGCTGGTCTGCAGTGGGGAGAAGCCCCCAAAATCAGGGACTCCCCTGCTGGGACCTGGGGGCTGGCAATCCTACATAGAGTCTACCCTACAAAGCAGCCATTTTCTCCTGGGGAACTGATCGCTGTCATTTGAAGATCATCTGTAATTCTGAGAGACCTCCAAGCCCCATCTGGAGGACAGCAACCCTACAACTCAAGGGAGTTTGCCGGCGTGCCTGTTGAAAGTTTACTTATTAAAAAGGTGGGCTCCATACAAGCATTAAGATGTTGGTTTTCTTGCAAAAGCTCATTTGAGGGAGCAGTCTAATAATCCTACACATCAACAAAACAACAGCAAAACCAGGGGGGAGTAGTTCCCCTCCCATTTCTCCTACCTAAGGCCTTTCCCCCCAGTTTTTCCAGGGAAAAATGTGGGGGTGGGGGACTGCTACGAAATACTTTCTCTTTTAGAATGAATATAAAATGCTTTTTAAGGCAAGATTTTTCATTCAAAAAATGTCTATTTTCCACCTTTCCAATAGAAAAAAAATGGGCAATTTCAGGTGGCACTGGAAAAAAAAACCCTATGAAATATTTTGTTTTGTTTTCTGAGTGAGAAAGACAAAGCATTTTACTCAGTCCAAAGTACTACATAGAAAATGTCTGAAGACTTCCTTAATTTTTCCAGTGGAACCTTGGGGGAAGTTCTTATGTTTATTTTTAAAGAGTAAATAATCTTGGGTACAATTAATATGCTATAATGTGTCTAATCCTGATGCATTCAGCATTTTCATTGTTATGAAGTTTGGCTTCATATCTAAACATGCTGGCAGTTCTACCTAATATTACTCTATGAGGGAATTTCTGTTCAAAAGATTCACTTTATTTTGTTTACTACAGAATCGTCTTCTACCTTTAACTTTTATTTTTTCCTTCCTCTCACATGGAAAAAATTAACTGTGACTGACCCGAGGTCACCGAGCTGGCTGCATGTGGTACATTCTTTAACCAGTACACCACAACTTAGGTACTGGTACAATTGGAATTTTTCTTACAGAAAATGAAATGAAGATATACAACTCTTTTTCAGTGACTATGTAGAATCTTCACTGATTGTGTTAGACACCTTTGTTTCCCATTTGGTTGTTTTTGTCTCTTCCCCTCCCCTCTGTTTTTCATAAGTTAAAATGGGTTAACTTACTATTACCCAGGGGTCATTTCGTAGAAAAAGAGGTGCAGGAGCTCATTAGCATAACTTATTTGCATATGTCACACACCCTGACATCACCGGAAGTGTGTCAGAAGGCAACCCCCACTGCTCAGGCTCCACTGGACTGTTTTGGATTGCTAGCTATTGGGGGGGGGACGTGCCGATCTGTCCTCACAGAGGAGAGAGAGCTTGTACCTGAATAAAACTTGGTCTTAAAGGTGCCGCTGGACTGTTTTGGACCAGGGGGCCGGGGGGAGCTCTGCATCTTATCTGGCTGCTTCTTGCTCTGAGTGAGGGCTGCTGGGAGCAGCGGGTGGAGCTTGTTGCATGTGCCCGCCCCCTGGGCTCTTTACTGCTGGATCTCCGCTCCTGTGCGCTCCTGCAGGAAATGACCCCTGCTATTACCCAAACAAAAATCTCAGTTGTGGAAATCTGAATCAAATTGCACCCCACAGGTCATGCAAGTCAAGGTGTTAGTTTGTCATTTACATCCCTAAATGGTTTGGGACCAGGGTATCCAAGGAACTGTCTTCGCCCATACTTTCCTGCCCGAGAATTAAGATGACAGGGAGATGCCCTTCTGACTGTCCCATCAGTTAAAGAGGCTTGTTAGGTGGGTACATTATGCTGCACAATCACAATACATTATTGAAGAATTCAGCATTTTCAGTTCTCTAAGAGTTGTATGTTGAGGAAGTTCCGGCCAAATGAGAACGAATGTATGACTTATAAATAATGCATGTAATGTTTTAAATCAGTAAAAGAAGTTTCAGTTTGATTAGAAAGTGAATGTTACACACATTTCAATGTTTCCTAAAATTTCAGAGAGGGGGGGTAACTCAAGGCAGCTTACAATATAAATAAAACATTATAAAAAGAAAACAAAACAATAATTATAAAACCTATAAAACTCACAATTTAAAAACTCCAGTTTGGACTGCCAGTAATAAAAACTCAATCAAATGCAGTCCTAAAAAAAACTGTCTTCAGCTGCTTCTTGAGGATTGAAAGTGAGGGGGTGAGGTGCACCTCCCTCTGGAGGTTTTCCATAATTGTGGGGCTGCCATGGAAAAGGCCCTAACGCATGATCGCCTTTGAGCAACAGAATGGACAAAGCCAGCTGGATTCAAGGCAATGGAGGACACAGCACATACACGTTTTATAGAACAGCAAAGTGTAATGAGTTCTTCTCAGGCCCCACGTGGGTGTCACAATCATTTCCATAAATGGTACTAGCACTTATAATTCCTCATAAAGATTGGACAGGTTTCAACTGACAATTTTGGGTTCAAGGCTAAAGGTGGCAGAATATTTTGAAGCTGGGATTCTACAGATAATGATTCCAGAGAAATAGCCATATTAGTCTGAAGCAGGAAAATGAAATAGGAGGCCAGTGGCATCTTAAGAACAGGAAAAAAAAAATTCTAGCACAAGCTTTCCTGAGTCAGAGCTTACCATGCCAGCTATATTGTATGTACATCTCATACATACAGTTACGTGAGCTCTGACTCACAAAAACTCGTGCTGGAACAAGTTGGGCGGCTGCTTAATATCCAACCATGTTATGGCTGCGGTCACACGGAACATTAGCCACGCTAGAGAGACAGAAGATAGGCGGCGTTTCCGGGTGTGATCTCACCGGCACATCTGGGAAGCGTAGCACTCCCGTGGCTCAACCGAGGCTTCCCGCCAAAGACGTGCGGCAAAAAACTAGTACCTCGGAGGTACTATTTTCCAGAAACCGTGGGGCAAGGGCGTGCGCGTGATCATGTTTTCGATGGAATCCCGTGGCATCCAGCGCCCGCCCATGTCCCCTCGCAAAGAGCTTCCCCCCCCCCAAGTCTCCATGGATGCGCACAAGAACCCAACGGAGCATGCGCATACTCAGTGTACAGGGGGGGGGAAATGTTTGCCCTGGAGGAAGGCGAAGAGGCGACTGCTTGTCCAACTGTCCCCAGGAGCCGCAC